GGTTATGCGTGCCAAAGAAAGACTTGGGCTAAAAACATACCGGAAGCACTAAGAACCCAAAAGGAACCCAAAACAGGCCGGGTCCGTGAAACCACGGGCCCACAAACTCTACGATTCGTTATTGTGTCGAAATTCTGGGTGTATAATAATGGACGACGAAACGTACGTGAAACTAGAAAACCGCTTCTCGGACCACAATTCTATACTGTAAGCGAAGGCAAGGACATCCCCGAAACGGAGAAGGCAATTTTTACCGAAAAATTCGGTAAGAAGGTTATGGTTTTGGCAGGCAATATGCGAGTATGGTAAAACATCTAGTCCGTACATCACAACGGAGACGATGAACACTCAGACATACGTTAAGGAATGTCTCCAGAAGCGATTGTTGCCGATGATCAGGCAGCACGAAGGTCAAGTAGTATTTTGGCCTGATTTGGCGTCATGTCATTACGCAAAGGACACTTTAGAATGGTACAAAAGTCAAAATGTATGTTTCGTGCCAAAAGACATGAATCCGCCGAACTGCCCGGAGGCACGGCCAATCGAAACTTTTTGGGCTTTAACCAAAGCAAAGCTTCGAAAATTAATAAAACCAGCTGACGACATCCAAAAATTCAAAAAAGATTGGCCAAAAGTGGTCAAAATGGTGGGAAGTACCACTGTGCAGAAGCTAATGGGTCATGTTCGAGGAAAAGTTAGGAGTCTTGGCTATGATTAAATATGTTGATTAAACGAGAGTTAAATATCATTTGAAATACAAATACAAATATGATTTGCCAAATAAAATTATTAAAACTAAAAAAAAAAACATGACTCTTTTGTTATTTTGAAAGTGTGCTTATACTTTCTGGAACAGTCTATACACAGTTGTACTCACAAACTGCTCATTTGCTAATAACTTCGCACACAGTTAACGTAACATAGTTCTTTTTGAAGTAGTAGATAGAATAGAGTTTAAGCTTGATATAGACACGTAAAAACAAGTAGATTTTAATTCTAGTAATAAACAGTATTTGTTTTTGCGTTGTAAAAATGAAGTGACAAATGCTCGCTGCACATCTCGTACTTTACGTGTAAAAAATCATTGGCGTTGATTCAAATGTTAAGATTTACCTGCTCTTTGCATATCTATAGTAAACTATGATCACAGACAAACAGACGTAACTCTTAGAAAAACTTGTTCTTGAAAACATAGTATCTCAAAACATATAACCTCAGTAACGACATCTCTCTGGCTTCTCGCGGAAAACAAGCTTGCTCGCTAACTCGTAAACAATATTGCATAAAAATTTTATAGAATATATAGAAACGTCAAAGTGATCCGATGCCAGCGCTGCGGCGAGTAGTTCGCGGAACTGATAATATTCAAATCAACCGTTAAATGCATGAACTATGATACACAATGAAGAGTTACGTCTGTTTGTCTGTGCTATGATCCTAATCTATCAATTACTTTAAAGAAAAACAAATTTCAACAAATGAGTGAAAAGTTATTAACAAATGAGCAGTTGGTGTGTACAACTGTGTATGCCAAGCATGTCTACAACTCTCTCTTTGACACCAATTTTTTATCTTATTTAGTTTTGTCGCAATTTCGTACTAAACACATCATGTTGGGTCGTTAATTAACGGTTGCGTAAAACACGAATTCAACCCCACCGTGCGTTGCTGTTGACGTCTGTTTGCAGTGCGCAGAGCACACTTGATCGCCAGGCGGTTGTGAGACGGCGCTTGGTGTTTCAACAGGACGGAGCCCCACCTCATTCCACAAATGCGGTAAGACATTTTCTGAACGCCAACTATCGGGAACCGTGGATCGGGCGGAATATTCCGATTGCTTGGCCCCCAAGGAGTCCGGATTTGACTCCCATGGACTTCTTTTTATGGGGGTGCATAAAGGAAGAGGTGTATTTGGTGACAATCAACACGCGCGAACAGCTAGTTTACCTAATTTTTCTTGCTGCTCGAAAGATACAAGAGAAGATGATTAATATTAACCTCGTGGAAGAGATCGGATGGAGGTTCAGGTACATCGAGATCAAGTCTGCTATGCGCGCTGCAAACAGACGTCAACAGTAACGCACGGTGGGGTTGAATTCGTGTTTTACGCAACCGCTAATTAACGACCCAACATGATGTGTTTAGTACGAAATTGCGACAAAACTAATCAAGATAGAAAATTGGTGTCAAAGAGAGAGTTGTAGAGCGCATTGAGAGGCATCTTTCAAAACAATACACTTTATTACGTATTTTTTTTAAATAATAAAGGAAACCCCGTAGGAAAACAGACTCGTTTATCCCTAAAATGTGTCTAAATGCAGCTTACTTAAAGTAGAAATGACACTATTAAGTGGGAAATTTACCAATGGAGGCAAGAGTTTTGTCCTAAATGACATGGTTTTTGAGTTAGAGCCAATTTATGGCAAGCATAGGCCCTTATTACCGATGGCACTTCACGGTGAAATGACAACTTATCACTCACGGTGAAGTGATTCCTATTTGATTTACACGCCAATCACTTCACCGTGAGTGACAACTGGTCACTTCACTTCGTTTTCACTTTGAAGTGACAGCCGTAATAAGGCCCATAGACCTAAACAGAAAAAGTTCAATAACTCAGTAAGCTTTGAGATTTGATCTATGCGTGGACAATTTTTTTACTTCAAATATCGCCCCTTAAGATGATACTCTAATGAAACCTTAGCGTGAAACTTCAAAGGTACAAATGTCAGCTTCCACAAAACATACAAATTTGAAATTGCTACTCTCTGTTTGTAGTAGCACAGCAAACAAGGAGTAGCAATTTCAAATTTGTATGTTTTGTGGAAGCTGACATTTGTGCCTTTAAAGTTTCATTTATCACCTTAAATTATTTGCACTAAGGAACTGTATATGAGTACATAAGATCAGTTTCAGTCATATCGTTAGTTGTCAAAACAAAATATTGGTAAACAATGACTTCTCTCGATGATTCTTAGGAATTCAGGTCGCACCCACGCCAACCAACATAGCCCTCAGGTAGGGGAAGATGTTTAGTATGAAGTCAGCTCATCGAGGCAATATCTGATAATCCATTCATGAGTTCGTCAGCTTATAATATTAAAAGTTGTAGAACCCCCCCCCCCCCCTCACTTCAAAAGTGGACGTAATTGTTAAACTGCTCCAACATGGAACAATCCACCCAAATTTATACCATGAGCAAGTAGCCATGCGACTCCATTATGCTCATAATCCTATTCAATAGCAAACCGCTGCTTAACTTACGGAAGCAATTCTAACCCAAACACACAGACTTTTCTCTCATTGAAAATGTATTCCATCCCTGCGGGCAGGTGGGAAATGATGAACGGTCATGAAACATGGAATCTTACTTCAGTACCAAGTAAAATGTGAACATTTTATACAGCACAGGTCTCATTCGGTGGTGACGGTTGTGATGATGGTGGTGATTACGAAGGGCATGGTAACAACGTGGCATGCTGCGATAAGCAACCTCGCATTCACGCCATTTTTATTATTATACATTCGCACCGTTGTTGATGTTGATATTTTGCGTTATTCAAATTCAGTGTTAATCAATATTTTATTCCGTTTCGCCCATTTGATGATTTGTTTACATTTTCGGCAAGCAGTAGTTATTATTTTAAGCACACTTCTCTTTATTTTACAATTTCCCGCAATTCAATAAAAAAAATCATGGTTGACGGCGTGAAATAAAATGAAATTCCACAAGCATTTTACGACAGCTCCAACGTAACAAAACAAAAAACCAACTGCCGTTATTACACATAAAGCACAACAATTCGATTATAATTATTATCTTAATTCGACGAAGCGATTTCACGACCGGGCCATTTCGAATCTTCCATTCCATTATCCACGCGGATCGAAATCCGATTCCATAACGTGGTTTGTAATCCACCGCATCTCCTCGCGTGCCACAGTCGTTACGAACAGTGCGCAGCCTAATAAATTGAAATCCTCTTTATTGCTAAATTATTTGTCCTCGCCTTTAGATCATGTTTCCTCATCCAAAAAAGGAATGTATGTATGTATATTCTTATGCATAGCAATGGCAACGGAAAAAAAAGTCTCGCTAGTTCACTGTTGTCGTGAGGAAGAATGCATTTTTCGCGGATGTCAAATTCTAACCTAGTAGTTCTTGTAATCTCACTCTCGCCTTCTATTTTTATTGTTCTTGATTCTTTTGTTTTGCGAAGCAGTGCTGCGAAGCCGATCATTGCACTCTGGGCGTGATTCCTGTTTTAGTGTTTTTATTTAGATTTTAACGTTTCTTTAGTTATGTGTCAAATTCTACAGTCTTCTAAAATGATGATTTTTTTTCTTTGGTTTTCTTTAGTTGCGCTATATAACAATTGGATTTTCTCCACTTTTATTATTTTTATTTTCGTACAGTTTGTTTTTATTTTTGCTCGTTATGTTTTCTTTTCTTACAAAAGCTACATTTTCTTTTGTTCTGGTTGTCAACAGTGCAATTTCACTTTAGTTGGCTCTAATGCTTTCGGAGTATTTCTTTTTTTTTTATTGTAACCAATCAAGTTTTTCTCTTATTTCATTCCTCTATATCCTAGTCCGATTTATCACATTTCATTTCACGTATTCCTAGCGATTAGACGAAAAATTCATTATCAGGAAAAATGCTCGTGCTATCGAAAGTATGAATCGAAAACACAAATGCTTGGACCTACGCGAACCGGTAGGTTGGAAGCTTTGACGAGTGGCGACGCTGCCACCGCGCACAAACTGTCAAAAAGCAAAACAGAAAACCAGTACACAACAGACTGAAACAAAAAGGCACATGCTTTACATGTGCTTCCCCATAAGAAGTATGTTTCACACTATCGTCGTTGATGTCGACTTCCCGAAGGATAGAATCTGTCCCGATGCGCATTGGCGGATGTGGTATGGTGCACCCTTATGTCCGTCCCCCCTGCTCGTGAGAGAGACACGAGACCCTATCATCCATTCCGTTGTCCTGTTGCTGTTCCTTCTTCCCCTTCCTTCTAGTAGAACCTTCTGGCGGAATCCTCCGGGAATATCTTCACTCAAATTCGCTTGATCGTGTTTCCGGTAAAGAAGATCGACATCCGCCGACTGAACGTCATCGGCTCGTAGTCGTCGTCATAGTGATACCGGCTGTGATAACTGCTGCAACGGCGTTGGTTGTGGTGCGCGCCCAGATGGTTGCTTCCCATCACCGGTAGGAATGCCAATGTCCGGGGCTCCGGCGGTGACAGCGGATTCTGACCCTGGTCGTCCGAGTCACAGAATCCCGGATTCAGGATGATGTTCGGCACCAGCTCCAGACTGTCCAGTTCTTCTTCTTTTTCTGGTGTGTTTTTTGTATGTGTGTTGATTTTACGGATGAAGATTTTTTTTTTCAGTGTAATATGTGTTTTCGCAAATTGTTTTGAAGGCAGGCAGGCGTATGATATTTATTTATTTTTTGTATAAGTTTTATTTTTGTTTGATCCCATAAGCGAAAGGCAGAAGAGTGGCGATATATAAGAAGGATTTAAGGAAAAAATCAGTTAGATGAAATTTATAGCAATTTTCTTTTTCAGTGTTTTCCTAACAGACAGAGAACGCAAGCTTTTATTTTTGCTAAAAATTCTACCGATGAACTAAAGTTTACAATCACTAAAATGCAATAATGATTGAGTTCCGGTGGGAAGGTGGCTTACGCAGTTTTGGTTTAGGAAATGTCATAAAACACCTTTTGAATATCCATTCCAAAAGTGGCACCTTTATTGTCTTTTTTTGGCACTACTAGCTATGTATAAATTTGGTAAATCTATTCTAAAATAAAGCTTGCTCTGCTATCTAATAAAGCCACTCGTGAGCGTCTTCGCTTCTCTTTCGGAGCTCGTGTTGGTGTTCTATTACCGCAAAAGCTTATTTTCTTTGTAAGAGTATTGGTAAATTTTCGATGCAAAACCTAGCTACATTCGAATGAAAGAAAAAAGTCAATCAAAAATGCAAAAAAGTGCTTCTAAAAACTACTACTTTTGGCAAAATGGATTTCTTTGGAAACAAAACAAAATTGGTTCGTAAAATAAGCAACTTCTACAAAACTTCCTACAAAATTGTTATCTTATTTATTGCAGTGTAAAATGTTCCAAAATTGGTCCCTTCTAAAACAAAAATATACAGCTACTTCAAAAACCAAACCAAATCAGAGACAAAAATCAACAAGAGTCTATGAACAGAACCAGATCGAACAAACAAACAAACGCAATAGTAGTTCAACAACAGTTAAAATTCAAACTTGTACCGATTGGCTCGCGGCACTCTTTGTACAGCACGATGCAGGTCCCGAGCGACAGGATGACCAGCGTTCCCATGACGACGCCGACTGCTGCGATCCAAACGCGGGTGTCAAAGTTCTGCGCATCGATCATAATCCGCCGTATCAGGTCTTGAATTTGGATGCATGTTTTGATTTCCAATCATGGTAACAAAAAAAAACAATAACGGTGACCTACCTTTCTCCTCCATGTCGGGTAACGTGGTAGCCGTGATGGTTACGGCTTCACCCGACCCCAGGGCGTTGTTGGCCCAGATCCTAAACTCGTACGTCGTGTTCGGGATTAGGTGGTATATCTCCAGCTGTCGCTGTTTTGTTATGTTAAACAATAAGCTTTAGAAACGGAAGTAAACCAACTAATCAATATGCAACCAACTCACCGCATTCGGGCTAATGTGCCTGGGATCGATCGTTTCCCAGCGTTCCTCGGGTTCCTCGTCGGACATGCGTAACTGCCGCATTTCGGAGGTGAAGTCCCGAATGGCGTAGCCCCCGGTCCGGTTGGGAAACACCTCCCAAACCAGCACGGCAATGATGGTGGAGGCACGAACAAAGAAGTTGGACACCGCCAGCGGAGGCGTCCGCACTTTGACGTTGAACTGTCTGATCAGCACGTACCGATCGGGGGTGCTGTCAAACTGTGGCGACGTTGGAAGATCCGGTTCGTCCTCTTCACTGCTGCTGCTGTTGTTGTTCAAGTATCGAGTATCGTTCCGAGGGCCAAACACTAGGATGCCATCCGCAGCGGTGTCGTTGCTGTCATCACTCGCCGGGAGATCGTCGATCTGCACTGTGGTGAAGGTGGGCACCATCTCCGAGCACGTGTACGTGCCGCCATCTTTGACTGTCAGATTGGTGAAACGAAGCGAACCGTCGCTCTGTGGAATGGAGAGAAACGAAGGCTTGATTAAGGCTTTATGTAACTGGATAAAGTTTCATCAGTGGCGTACCGTAACCTAACTTTTTACCTGTGCGCCAACTTTCAAAAGCAGTTTTAGTGACATATTCATACTCGAATCGGTTCAAAAATACTTCGACAGTGAGCATGCATAATGGTGTAAACGCGATGATCGATTCTCTTCGTCGATTTTCTCTTTTGTTAATAACTCGCTAGAACTAACGTTTCTCGGTGCGTTTGCTGTTGCTTTTGATAGTCAATACAATCTGTTACAACTCTGCATTGAACAAATTCTAGAAAATTGTTTCACTTAGCTGTAGCAATGCAAAGAGAAAATCGATGAAGAGAATCGATTATCGCGTATACGCCCTTATGAATACTCACTGTCGACTTACTCATCTAGTTTACTCGATATCTATCCATTGCGAGCAATATTTTGATAATAGTTTATGTTTTGAGAGTTGGTGCACAGGTAAATTGAGGTTAAGGAAACGACACTGAGTTTCATATCATATTCATTGGTAGAGAAACCTTCACTGTCCATAAAAGCATAATTGTCCCATATGAATAGGAAATCAAGCAAAGATGAGACAGTTATGCTTTTATGGGTAGTTCAGCTGTGGATGATTCGTTTTCATGGAAATTTTCGCACAATTTTCGAACGTTTTTTTAAGAATGGTTAATTATAATCGATTGATACAGTTAAAGCATATTTGCTTTGTCTATGCTTGATCCATCTGATGTTTCAATAGCCACACTTAGTGTAGTTTTCTATGTTTGCTGCGTAAAATCTCCCTTCGTTTTGAGCCATACTTGGCATACACTGCGAAATCGTTTACAAGCTTGCATATAATATCGCAATATTGCGATATTGCGCTTAAATTTACACGAAATATGGCGTAAATTAACGCTAAATATAGCGTTAATTTTATTTGCGCTATATCTCGCAGAAATTTACATGAATTTTTCAAACATCTTGGCAAAAAATACCGATATTGGTCAAATAAAATTAAGTATGTAAACTTAAAAAAAAAAATAACCATAAAATGAGCTTAACGACGTGTTCGGGGTATCATCCATTTGTGGGATAGTTTATCCATCCGGGATACAGTTCGTTTATGGTATTTGTTTATTAGGGTGTATGTATGTAAGAAGCCACCATCCTTATATTTGTCAAATAAAATTAAGTGTGTAGAAAACTCGTTTTATATTTTTTACACGAAGTTTTGATTTTTTTTTTAATTTGTATGAGAGGATCGGTAACTAGTACTAGGTTGATAACTGTTCATGGTCGTTGCTTGAATGAACGAAGGTTTATTTTAGACGAATGAAAATTTTCTAGGTTACATAATTATATAAGCTCTTCAGTAAGTCAACTGCTACTACGATTTCATTCTTCTTCACCCCCCCTCAGTTGCTTATTTCTAATCTTTATTTACTGTGTAGATTCAGGAACGATGGAGCTGCCAGAGATTTTGTCAGCTTGTCCGCTTCTTGCTGTTGCGTCGAAACGTAGACCAACTGTATTCCGCCTGCAGCTATAGCATCACGGATGAAAAGTTATTTTACATCTAAGTGCTTTGCCCGCTTCGTCTCTTCCTTCTGTGCCATCGCTATGGCCCTTTGGTTATCTTCAAATATTGAAACAGGATACAACCACTTGATTTGCGCTAGATTACCCATTAATATACTGAGCCATATGGATTGCATTTTCAAATGCCTAGTACCCTGAACGTACTTCAGGACTATTTTCGCGAGTTGCCAGTGCTCCAAACTTGAAACCTCGAAAGATACCCAACGATGAAGCAGTAATCCGGTCGGGTACCCATCATCAGGTACATTAGGCATCCAATTAGTTCACGATAAGGGTGCTCGCACCGCTCACCGCTTCGTTTCAAACTGCTTTCGGCAGGAGTTTGGCATTGTTTGAAGTCACTCATCCCAAAACGGTGTATATACAATCTTCTCGATCAATCCCGTCTGCGAAAGCTTCATGATTCCTTGTTCACGATCTCGTAGAATCTTGATTCCCAGGAAGTCATGCCGTTCAGCCATGTCAAATTCTTGTTTCAGCGTTTCCTTGATACCCAATATCGCTTGTATGCTCCGAGCTACGATCAACAGATCATCTACGTAAACAACAATACACACTGTTGCATATCCTTGGTGCTTCACATATAGGCAATAATCGTACCGCGATTGGATGAAACCTTGACCTTGCAGCAACTCATTGAATCTTGTGTTCAAACATCTTGTGAACTGTTTTAACCCACACAATGATCGCTTCAGCAGACTTGGCTCCAACTCCATCCGGTACCTGCATCTACACCTCTTCGTCCAGTTCTCCGTTCAGAAAGGCTGTACGGACGTCCATTTGGTGGATTTCCAGTCCTTTGGGGGTTCGGATTGTGTTCAGTTTGTTGTTCCAGACCAAAAGTTTCCTCATAATCGATACTCTTCCGCTGCACACAGCCTTTCGCCACTAGCCTTGCCTCGTAACGCATTGGATTTCCATCAGCGTCCATCTTCAACGTGAATACCCATTTGCATGAAACGGGTACAACCGATTCTGGTTGCTGCCCAAAAACCCAGGTCCGGTTCTTCTCCAACACACTCAGTTCCTCTACCGCTTTGATCCAGCTTTCTCGATTTGGGTGGTCAGCAATGTCTTTATAGGACAGAGGAACCTGAGGAGAATGGTCTACAGCAGATAATGCTGCATATGACGAAATGAAATCTTTGTCCAATCCGCCTAGCTTCAGCCTTCAGTCTGATGTACGTTTCCGCCATCGTCTCAAAGTTCCGTGCCATAATGTCAATGTCATCGGCGAAGCCAAGAAGCTGGATAGACTTCCTGAAGATCGTGCCACTCGTGTCTATCCCAGCTCTTCTGATCACACCTTCTAACGCGATGTTGAACAGCAGACACGAAAGTCCATCACCTTGCCGTAGCCCCCTTCGAGATTCAAAGGGACTCGAGAGTGTCCCCGATACTTGAACAACGCACATCACTCGATCCATCGTCGCCTTGACCAATCGCGTCAGTTTATCCGGAATTCCGTACTCGTGCATAATCTGCCATAGCTGATCTCGATCGATTGTGTCGTATGCGAATTTGAAATCGATGAACAAATGATGTGCGGGCACGTTGTATTCCTGGCATTTCTGCAGAACCTGCCGAATCGCGAAAATTTGCGAAAACTCTCTTGCAAATGGTGACAGGCGGCGTAGTAAAATTTGGGAGAGTACCTTGTAGGCGGCGCTCAGCAGTGTGATCGCGCGGTAGTTGCAGCAATCCAACTTGTCGCCCTTTTAGTAGATTGGGCATACGACACCTTCCATCCACTCCTCCGGTAATATCTCCTCCTCCCAAATCTTGGCAATTACCCAGTGCAGCGCTCTAGCCAGTGCTTCACCACCGTATTTTAATAGCTCACTTGGTAGTTGATCTACACCAGTTGCTTTGTTGTTCATCAGCCAACCGATCTCCTCCTCAACTTCTTGAAGATCAGGGTCCGGTACCTTTCGTCTTCTGCGCGTGCTCCAAGGTCCGTTGCCGTGCCACCTTCGTTGTCTGCTGCTTCACCGTTGAGGTGCTCGTCATAGTACTGCTTCCACCTCTCAATCATCTCACACTCGTTCGTGAGAAGGTTACCGTCCAAGTCCTTGCACATATAGGCTTGCGGCACATAGCCTTTGCGCGAACTATTTAGCTTCTCGTAGAACTTCCGTGTGTCGTTTACGCGGTACAGATTTTCCATCGCCTCGCGATCTCGGTCTTGCTGCTGACGCTTCTTCCTTCGGAAAACCGAGTTTTGTCGGTATCGCTCCACATTCAATCTCGTGCGGTGTTGCAGCATTCTCGCCCGTGCTGCATTCTTCTCCTCTACTAACAGTTTGCATTCGCCGTCAAACCAGTCATTTCTTCGGCCCGGGGTTGCAGTACCTAGTGCCACTGCAGCAGTACTACCTATGGCGGAACGGATGTCCCTCCAGCCATCTTCAAGAGAAGCTGCGCCAAGCTGCTCTTCCGTGAGTAGTGCAACTTCCAGCTGCTGCGCGTAGTCCTAGGCAACTCCGACGTCCCGTAGTTGCTCAATGTTGGGTCGCGGCGTTCGACTTCGACAGAGAGTTTTGAGCGCATGCACACTGCAACTAGGTAGTGGTCCGAATCTATGTTCGCACTGCGGTACGTGCGGACGTTAATAATGTCGGTGAAGAATTTTCCGTCGATTAGAACGTGATAGATTTGGTTTTCTGTGTGTTGGTCAGGTGATTTCCAGGTGGCTTTGTGGATATCCTTGCGGGGGAAAAAGGTACTACCATACCCCGAGAGGCTGCAAAGTTCACGCATCGTTGGCCGTTGTCGTTCGATACGGCATGCAGGCTGTTTGGCCCGATTGCCGGTCTATACATTGCCTCCCGTCCTACCTGAGCGTTCATGTCGCCGATGACGATTTTGACGTCCCGTTGCGAACATCCGTCGTACACCTGCTCCAGCTGCACATAGAACGCTTCTTTCTCGTCGTCGGGTCTCCCTTCGTGTGGGCAGTGCACGTTGATGATGCTGTAGTTGAAGAAACGGCCCTTAATCCTCAACTTGCACATCCTCGCGTTGATCGGCTGCCAACCAATCACGCGTTGGCGCATCTTACCCAGCACTACAAAGCCGGTTCTTAGCTCGTTGGTGGTGCCACAGCTCTGGTAGAAAGTAGCCGCTCGATGCCCGTTTTTCCATACCTTTTGTCCCGTCCAGCAAAGTTCCTGCAGTGCTACGACTTCGAAGTTGCGTGGTTGAAGTTCGTCATAGATTAACCTATCGCAGCCCAGGAAGCCGAGCGATTTGCAGTTCCAAGCTCCGAGTTTCCAATCGTAGTCCTTATTTCGTCGCGTAGGTCTGTGCCGATTGTTCCGATCCGTATTTCTTTCTTCAGTATTTGCAACTTTATGTTTTTTTCCCACTAAATAGGACGGTGATCA